TCACTATCTACAATGTGCATGCTACCCATTTCTCATTATCCACTAGTCGCTATCCACTAAGTACCACATGCTATTGCTATCTACTACACGTTATTGAATGGATTTTAACTGTTATTCCAAATAGGCCTAAAGCCAAAGTAAAAACGATAGATTTTTTGAGATGGACGAGTAGACTATGCTACTTATCCTTTTATTCCCCCTTTTTTTTTTTTTTTTGCTTCTTTTTTATTTTATTATTATTAGTATTTTTTTTTTTTTTTTTTTTTTTGCTTCTTTTTTATTTTATTATTATTAGTATTTTTTAGTTTGTACAATCAAGACGTCCTTAGATCAACTTTGACGCATCTTAAAACAAATTCTTCTCCAGATGATCTTAAGAGCATACCCTTAATATCGACCTAGTGCATTAAAAAAAAAATTTTTCCTTAGATGTTGGCTCTTAACCATAAACCTAACCTACAAGATGATACTTGTTTATCAATAAATCCAATTCTTAAAAATATTTTTTGTTTTCCTTTTAGATTTGTTAAGGTTAGATCAATATAGAATCCAAAAAGTTTATCAAAGAACAATCTTATTCTTGATTATATTTAGTTTTCATTGTACCAATCTTCTTGATACAATTAGTGTTGATAAGGATGTTGTTGAATTCCAAGTGATTTTGATGATAACAAAACCCCTTAAGATGTTTAATGAATTTGAGTTTCAGTGTGTAGTTAAAAAATCCTACAGTGCATCAAAGAAAAATTTGGAAAACTGCAAAACTAGGTTAAAGAGTAGAATATAGAACATCTATATTCGACTCTTAAAGTAAGAAGATTCGATTGTTGCTTGCTAATATGACTTTGGACCAAAATATGTAGAAAATGAGCATTCCAATGAAGAGTCAAATCTAAGAAGCTATATTCGACTCTTGAGGCTTCCAAATTCGACTCTAAGAGGTTAAGATTTTACTCTCAAATTCCATGGAGTTGAGAAAGTTTTGGGTGCAGGGCATAGTTGACTCTCAATTTGAAGAATCGACTCTTGGTGTTGAAGATTCGACTCTCACTTCTAAGATTCAACTCTTGGCCTAAAAGAGGGAAAAGTTGGCTAAGTCCCAAAATGTCTTGAAGAATTGACTCTTAATTTAAAGAGTTAAATTTAGGTTTTATAGATTCGACTCTTGACTGGATAATAACAGTTAGGTTTTTGAATCTAACACGTTTACTAAGCATTTGATGCATGCTAATGGTCCCAAACGACTAATTTCAACTAGAGGATGATAAATAGGGTTGGTGAGAGCATTGAAGAGTTTCTTAGACATATTATTAAAGAATCTCAACAATCCACTTGAGTAAAAACTTGCAAATAATAAATTCTCTTGTACTTTCACATGCAAACTTAATCATTGAGTGATCTTCTTGTGATCTTCATCTCATTTTCTCTTAGTGTGATTTTGGAAGTGTGATTAATTCCTTCAATAGTGGTTTATGGTGAGGATCATTGGGTTCTTCTTGTAAAGG